CCCCATTCTCCCGCTGTCCATCACCCCGCCCCATTCTCCCGCTTTCCATCACCCCGCCCCATTCTCCCGCTTCCATCACCCTGCCCATTCTCCCTCTTTCCATCACCCCGCCCCATTCTCCCTCTTTCCATCACTCCGCCCCATTCTCCCTCTATCCATCACCCCGCCCAATTCTCTTGCTTTCCATCACCTCGTCCCATTCTCCCGCTTTCCATCACCCGCCCCATTCTCCCGCTTTCCATCACCCCGCCCCATTCTCCCGCTTTCCACCACCCCGCGCCATGCTCCCGCTTTCCATCACCCCGCCCCATTCTCCCTCTTTCCATCACCCCGCCCCATTCTCCCGCTTTCCATCACCCCGCCCCATTCTCCCTCTTTCCATCACCCCGCCCCATTCTCACCGCTTTCCATCACTCCGCCCCATTCTCCCGCTTTCCACCACCCTGCCCCATTCTCCCGCTTTCCACCAGCCCGCCCCATTCTCCCGCTTTCCATCACCCCGCCCCATTCTCCTGCTTTCCATCACCCCACCCCATTCCCCCGCTTTCCATCACCCCTCCCCATTCTCCCTCCTTCCATCACCCCGCTCCATTCTCTCGCTTTCCATCACCGCGCCCCATTCTCCCGCTTTCCATCACCCCGACCCATTCTCCCGCTTTCCATCACCCCCGCCCCATTCTCCCTTTTTCCATCACCCCGCCCCATTCTCCCGCTTTCCATCACCCACCCCATTCTCCCGCTTTCCATCATCCCGCCCCATTCTCCCTCTATCCATCAACGCGCCCCATTCTCCCGCCTTCCATCACCTCGCCCCATTCTCCCGCTTTCCATCACCCCGCCCCATTCTCCCGCTTTCCATCACCCCACCCCATTCTCTCGATTTGCATCACCCCGCCCCATTCTCCCGCCTTCCATCACCCCGCCCCATTCTCCCTCTTTCCATCACCCCGCCCCGTTCTCCTGCTTTCCATCACCCCGCCCCATTCTCCCTCTTTCTATCACCCCGCCCCATTCTCCCGCTTTCCATCACCCCGCCCGCTTTCCATCACCCCGCTCCATTCTCCCGATTTCCATCACCCCGCCCAATTCTCCCTCTTTCCATCACCCCTCCCCATTCTCCCTCTTTCCATCAATCCGCCCCATTCTCCCGCTTTCCATCACCCCAACCCATTCTCCCTCTTTCCATCACCCCACCCCATTCTCTCGCTTTCCATCACCCCGCCCCATTCTCCCTCTTTCCATCACCCCGCCCCATTCTCCCGCTTTCCATCACCCGCCCCATTCTCCCGCTTTCCATCACCCCGCCCCATTCTTCCTCTTTCCATCACCCCGCCCCATTCTCCCGCTTTCCATCACCCCACCCCATTCTCCCGATTTGCATCACCCCGCCCCATTCTCCCGCCTTCCATAAGCCCGCCCCATTCTCCCTCTTTCCATCACCCCGCCCCATTCTCCCGCTTTCCATCACCCCGCCCCATTCTCCCTCTTTCCATCACCCCGCCCCATTCTCCCGCTTTCCATCACACCACCCCATTCTCCCGCTTTCCATCACCTCGCCCTTTTTTCTCTCTTTTCATCACCCCGCCCCATTCTCCCGCTTTCCATCACCCCGCCCCATTCTCCCGCTTTCCATCACCCCGCTCCATTCTCCCGCTTTCCATCAACCCGCCCAATTCTCCCTCTTTCCATCATCCCTCCCCATTCTCCCTCTTTCCATCACCCCGCCCCATTCTCCCGCTTTCCATCACACCGCGCCATTCTCCCACTTTCCATCACCCCGCCCGATTCTCCCGCTTTCCATCACCCCGCCCCATTCTCCCTCTTTCCATCACCTTGCCCCATTCTCCTGCTTTCCATCACCCCGCCCCATTCTCCCGCTTTCCATCACCCCGCCCCATTCTCCCGCTTTCCATCACCCTGCCCATTCTCCCTCTTTCCATCACCCCGCCCCATTCTCCCTCTTTCCATCACTCCGCCCCATTCTCCCTCTATCCATCACCCTGCCCAATTCTCCCGCTTTCCATCACCTCGTCCCATTCTCCCGCTTTCCATCACCCGCCCCATTCTCCCGCTTTCCATCACCCCGCCCCATTCTCCCGCTATCCACCACCCCGCGCCATGCTCCCGCTTTCCATCACCCCGCCCCATTCTCCCTCTTTCCATCACCCCGCCCCATTCTCCCGCTTTCCATCACCCCGCCCCATTCTCCCTCTTTCCATCACCCCGCCCCATTCTCCCGCTTTCCATCACTCCGCCCCATTCTCCCGCTTTCCACCACCCCGCCCCATTCTCCCGCTTTCCACCAGCCCGCCCCATTCTCCCCGCTTTCCATCACCCCGCCCCATTCTCCTGCTTTCCATCACCCCGCCCCATTCCCCCGCTTTCCATCACCCCTCCCCATTCTCCCTCCTTCCATCACCCCGCTCCATTCTCTCGCTTTCCATCACCGCGCCCCATTCTCCCGCTTTCCATCACCCCGACCCATTCTCCCGCTTTCCATCACTCCGCCCCATTCTCCCTCCTTCCATCACCCTGCCCCATTCTCCCGCTTTCCATCACCCCGCCCCATTCTCCCTCCTCCCATCACCCCGCCCCATTCTCCCTCATTCCATCACCCTGCCCCATTCTCCCGCTTTCCATCACCCTGCCCCATTCTCCCGCTTCCCATAACCCCACCCCATTCTCCCTCTTTCCATCACCCCGCCACATTTTCCCACTTTCCATCACCCCGCCCCCTTTTCTCTCCTTCCATCACCCCGCCCCATTCTCCCTCCTTCCATCAACCCGCCCCATTCTCCCGCTTTCCGTCACCCCGCCCCATTTTCCCGCTTTCCATCACCCCGCCCCATTCTCCCGCTTTCCATCACCCTGTCCCAATCTCCCGCTTTCCATCAACCCATCCCATTCTCCCTCCTTCCATCACCCCGCCCCATTCTCCCGCTTTCTATCACCCCGCCCCATTCTCCCGCTTTCCATCACCCAGCCTCATTCTCCCGCTTTCCATCACCCCGCCCCATTCTCCCGCTTTCCATCATCCCGCCCCATTCTCCCGCTTTCCATCACCCCGCTGTTGGTGCAACCCTATGGTTTGCACTCGGCTTGTTGTCCGTGTGCGTGCATGTGTGTGTGTCTATGGAATGGTATGAAGGCATGGGATAATATATATTTCATGCTTATAGTTGTGTGTGAATGTTGAGTCATGATGTCGAGTGTATGTGTCGAGTCAATAGCGAGTTATGGCTAGACGCGTGTTACGCGGTCGTTTGTGTCTCGCGCGCGGTTTCTATTTTGTCGTGCGCGGTTTCTCTTTTGTCCTGTGTCGAACGTTCGGTGTGTCGCAGGTGTGTGCAGCAGACCCATCAAGAACTCAAGGATGAGTTTGTGATGAAGAGCCGAGCCTTGGTGTCAATCCACAAGTGATTTCAAAGCTCGCCAAAAGGGTACACCTCAAGATATTGAAGATAGTTACATTACTTTGTGTAGTGTAACATTTCACTTGGTGTAGGCCCTAGTGAAGGGTAGTTTCGAGACCTTTCGTGGTTGGGGACAGTGTGGCACTGTTCCACATCACTGTACCTCGGCTCTTGGGGTTTGTAGGAGCTGGGAGTCATTCCCAACTCGTAACTCTTCCTAACCTTTCCTATCTTGTGTTCTAAGACCATAGTAGCTGCCATAGTGCCGTTCGTTCAAACCAACCCTGTGTCGTCAATACTTGGTCAAATCGTGCGATCTAGATTGCCTATTGTAGGCGACAATAAGGCGCTCCAGATCCAAGTTGAATCAAGTCATTTGGAGTTGTGACTAAAACGTTATGATCGTTTGAAGCCGCTGTGCAGAAATCCGACTGTGCACTCTATCTTTCGTTTTAGGCCCATTGGAGCCTACTGTGACTATAACAAGTGGTATCAGAGCCCCTCGGAGCAGTTTCGACAATGGCTGGACCTGATGAAAGGGGTGGCAGAGGTGCTGGTGGCAGAGGAGAAGCCCAAGCTCAAGGCCAACCCCGTGACTCAGCCATGGCACCCGTGCAACCAAGTGTTGGCCCATCTAGGGATGAGCCTAGAGTGTTTGGCCTTGACAAGTTCAATGGTGACAACTTTGCTGAGTGGTCCTTCAGAATGGAGAACATATTTGACCACTATGACCTGCTGGAGGTGATGGAAGGAACGGAGAAGCGTCCCGAGAACGACCCGGAGAAGAGCCCGTGGGTGCGGAAGAGCGCACAAGGCTACCTCCTACTTGGGCAAGCGTTGGGGAGCAGCCAAATCCGTCACATCAAGCCCTTCCAGCGTGAACCAGAGAAGGGACCAAAAGCATGGGCTGCTCTCAAGGGTGTACACGCTCCTGCAACAGCGGCGGTAGCTGTGGTGCTGGAACGGCAAATGGCGACGTTACGAATTGAAGAGGATGAAGCGGTTGAAGAAGGGGTGCAGAAATTCTTCGACTTGTTGACGCGACTTGAGGGAGCTGATTTGAACTATAGTGAGCTCCAAAAGAAGACCAAGTTGCTGGCCCTACTCCCGGAGTCATGGTCCTCGCTCATCATCAACCTTAATCGTGACTTGCCCCGCCTCTCGCTTGAAGACGTGAAGCGAGCTATCCTTCAAGAGGATTTCCGCCGCCGTGAATTGGCGAGTGCGGATGGCGCTAGGGCGTGGCGGTCGCGGTGGCGGAGCTGCAAACATGAAGAGCGGAGACAACGACAAGGACCCGAGCGACGATCGATACCCGGGTCTATTCTACTTCGTGTCGACGCAAGTACCGGCTGGTCCAGAGAAGGATGAAGGCTTTGAGGAGCCAGCAGCTGTGGGGAAGGTGACCCTACACCCCCTGGACTATTGGGTGATTGATAGTGGCGCTACCTATAGCATGACACCTCGCCCGGACTTGCTCACCGAACTCGAGCCGTCACCGGTGAAGCATGTCACATCGGCTTTGGGGCAGCGAGCAGAGGTGAAAGGCATGGGGAAGGCCATGTTCAAGGGTGCTGATGGGAAGATGGTGGGCCTCAAGAACGTGCTTTGGGTGCCCAGCCTTGCTGCAAACCTGATTTCCGTGCGGCGGTTGGCAAAGGCCGGCATGGACACTAACTCGAAGGGAGCCAAGACCTACACCGCAAGGCTTGGCGATCGGATTCTTTGGGACCTTCATGAGGATAGAGATGTCTACAACGAGATGTGGCAGATCCCTGTGGTCCCAATGCCTAAGGAGAGGCAAGTGGCAGCAAGCGTCAGCACTAAAGGTGGAGCGGTTGGTAGCGGCGATTGCGCGGACGGTCGCGCTAAGGAGAAGGAGTCCAAGAAGTGCAATCTTGGAGGGACCAGCAAGTTCAGTGAACCTAAGGAGAGTGGTGCAGCAACCAAGGAGCAGCAAAAGGGTGAGGAGAACCCCGAGGCAACAGCGGAGGAGGACTACGGAGAGAGTATGTGGGGCGCTATTGCGAGCGCGGAATTCTCCAATCCAACTTCGGCTACGGGGGAGTGTGATTGGCTCACCTTGCATCGGCGCATGGGGCATGTGGCCCTGCCCATCTTGCAGCAGCTAGTGAAGAATGAGATGGTTGCTGGCATACGTGTGAAGGGGGAGCCCGATGAGGTACTTGGCTGCCCGACGTGCATGCAAGCCAAGTTCACCCGTTACCCATTCTCTAGTTCGGAGGCAACGGCTAAGGCACCACTTGATGAGGTGGTGATGGACGTGGTGGGCCCCCTGAAGCTTGGAGCTGCTGGAGCTGAGTACTTCCTCACTATTGTTGACGCCTACACCCGTATGACTTGGGTGTACGTGCTGGCCAAGAAGAGCGACGTGGCTGAAACGTTGAAGGCGGATTGGTTCCCGATGGTGGAGCGGCAACAAGACCGTCTAGTCAAGTCAATCCGCACCGATCGAGGGGGAGAGTTCCTGAGCAAGGAGTTTGGGTTGTGGCTGAAGAAGAATGGTATTCGACACTCCCTCACCATGCCATACTCCCCTGCAATGAACGGCATCGCTGAGCGAGCGAACCGCACAATCACGGAGGCGGCACGCGGGTTGCTCATTGAAGCCGGGCTACCCGACTATTTCTGGCCTGATGCGGTGCGGAGCGCATGTGTGGCCAAGAGCAGAGCCTTGACTCATGTGGGAGCAGACAAATGGGTGCCCTATGTGGAGTGGCTAGGAAGGAAGCCAAAGGTGGATATGCTTCGGGTGTTCGGGTGCATGTGCATGGCGCTTGTGCCTAAGCATCTTCGGCACAACAAGCTTGGTGCCAAGGCGGTGTGGGCCGTGCACTTGGGCATGGCTCAAAACAGCAAGGGATGGCTTCTTTGGGACCCATTCACCAAGAAGTTCTTGGTGAGCAGGGACTGCAAGTTCATGGAGAACTTCATGTACAAGGATTGGAAGGCGGAGAATGAGGCGAAGATAGGCGTGCGGTTTGGGGAGGTGAAGAGTTCCGGTTTGGAGCATGTGGAGCTGCCTTTGGAGCTGAGCAGCGGCAGCACAACCACGAGGCAATCCTCCCTTTTGAATGGGGGAGAGGAGGCCACTGATGCAGAGGAAGAAGAGGAGGAGGTGCAGCAAGTGAGTGAGCGTGCACCGTCACTCCCTTCCCGTACCACGAGTGCTCCACGGAATCGAGCCACACCGCAGCAACGCCAAGGCCTTCAAGTCGCTGCAGCTGAGGAGGAAGGAAGGGGGAGGAGGAGAGTTCAACCCCCTAATAGGCTGACCTATGATGCACTTGGAAAGCAAGGCAAGACAGCCCTGGCCGGAGCGGCAATGATGGTCGGAGACGATGAGGAGAGTGACTACGAGGAGTGTGCCTTCGCGTTCTTCTCTCCGGTGGAGATGCCGGGAGAACCAGCAACTCTCAAGGAGGCTTTGGAGAGTAGTGATGCTGAGGAGTGGAAGAAGGCTTTGGAGAGTGAGCTGAAGAGCATCGAGGAGAATGACACGTTTGAATTGGTGGAGCTACCGGAGGGGCGTACGGCGATAACGTCCAAGTGGCTCTTCAAAATCAAGTCGGATGCCGACGGCAAGATCGAGCGTTATAAGTCTAGGCTTGTAGCCAAGGGGTACCAGCAGAAGGAGAAGGTGGACTTCAAGGAGCTGTTTGCCCCTGTGGTGAAGCCGACGACGCTGCGAACCCTATTCGCGGGAGCCGCCATCAAAGGATGGGTGGTGAAGCAAATGGACATTGTGACGGCATTCCTTAACGGCATCCTTGAGTAGGAGATTTTTATGGCACAGCCAGAGGGGTTTGATGATGGTAGTGGCAGAGTGTGGAGGCTGAAGAAGGCCCTCTATGGGCTGAAGCAGGCCCCTAGGCAATGGTACATGAAGCTGCGCGAAGTTTTGGAGGAGATCGGCTTCACTCCCTCAACGGCCGATCACTCCTTGTTCATGCTTGGCGAGGGGGAGCGGAGGAGCTTCATGGTGGTTTATGTGGATGACATTCTCATATTCTCACCCTCCTCTGACCTTGTGAAGGAGGTGATGCTGAAGCTGCATGACAAGTTCAAGTGCAAGTCCCTTGGTGACGTGAACTTCTACCTTGGGCTCCACATCGAACGAGACGTGGAGAAGCGGAGCATGCGAGTGCACCAACGGAAGTACCTGGAGGCATTGGCTGCCAACTTCGGCCAGAGTGAAGGTCATGTGGCTACTCCCTTTCCCTCTGGGTTCAAGTGTGTGAAGGGGCCAGAGGAGGAGAGCGTTGGAGAAGAGGAGAGGCGCCGATTTCACTCGTTGGTGGGCAGCCTCATGTATGCGGCGGTAAACACCCGACCGGACGTCGCGTTTGCTACCGGGCAGCTGGCTAGGGTTGTGCAATGCCCTAATGAGGAGCAGGTAGCAGCTGGAATGAGGGTGTCCAAGTATCTTGGCCAAACAGCGACCGTTGGGCTGCAATACTCGGCGGCGGCACAAAGGCGCCAAAAGGGCGCGGATGGTGTTGAACCCGGGCGTTTGTTCCTCACCGCCTACTCGGATGCTTCATATGCATCAGAACCAGAGGACATGACAAGTGTGGGAGGCTTCATATGCTGTGTTGGTGGAGGCCCAACTGCTTGGGAGAGCAAGAAGCAGGTTGACCAAGCTTTGAGCTCGGTGGAGTCCGAATACATGGCACTCTTCCGTGCCGTACGGGAGATTGTGTGGCAGCGGCGTTTGTTGGCTGAATTGGGGGAGGAGCAGCAAGGACCTACCCCACTGTATTGTGACAGCCAGGGTGCCATTGCTCTTGCTAAGAACCCTGTGTTGCATGGACTCACGAAGCACATGAGGGTGAAGTGGCATTGGACGAGGAGCATGGTAACCGCGGGTGAAGTTGAGTTGCGCTACGTGAAGACCACGGGGCAGCCGGCTGACATGATGACCAAGAGGCTGGTGGAGCAGCAGCATTGGAAGTGTTGCAAGCTGGCTGGGATGGCTCTGAACTGACAGAGCAACACATCCTAAGGCCAACAATCCGAGGGGGAGTTTGTTGGTGCAACCCTATGGTTTGCACTCGGCTTGTTGTCCGTGTGCGTGCATGTGTGTGTGTCTATGGAATGGTATGAGGGCATGGGATAATATATATTTCATGCTTATAATTGTGTGTGAATGTTGAGTCATGATGTCGAGTGTATGTGTCGAGTCAATAGCGAGTTATCGCTAGACGCGTGTTACGCGGTCGTTTGTGTCTCGCGCGCGGTTTCTATTTTGTCGTGCGCGGTTTCTCTTTTGTCCTGTGTCGAACGTTCGGTGTGTCGCAGGTGTGTGCAGCAGACCCATCAAGAACTCAAGGATGAGTTTGTGATGAAGAGCCGAGCCTTGGTGTCAATCCACAAGTGATTTCAAAGCTCGCCAAAAGGGTACACCTCAAGATATTGAAGATAGTTACATTACTTTGTGTAGTGTAACATTTCACTTGGTGTAGGCCCTAGTGAAGGGTAGTTTCGAGACCCTTCGTGGTTGGGGACAGTGTGGCACTGTTCCACATCACTGTACCTCGGCTCTTGGGGTTTGTAGGAGCTGGGAGTCATTCCCAACTCGTAACTCTTCCTAACCTTTCTTATCTTGTGTTCTAAGACCATAGTGGCTGCCATAGTGCCGTTCGTTCAAACCAACCCTGAGTCGTCAATACTTGGTCAAATCGTGCGATCTAGATTGCCTATTGTAGGCGACAATAAGGCGCTCCAGATCCAAGTTGAATCAAGTCATTTGGAGCTGTGACCAAAACGTTCTGAACGTTTGAAGCCGCTGTGCAGAAATCCGACTGTGCACTCTATCTTTCGTTTTAGGCACATTGGAGCCTACTGTGACTATAACACCCGCCCCATTCTCCCTCCTTCCATCACCCCGCCCCATTCTCCTGCTTTCCATCACCCCGTCCCATTCTCCCTCCTTCCATCACCCCGCCCCATTCTCCCTCCTTCCATCACCCCGCCCCATTCTCCCGCTTTTCATCAGCCCGCCCCATTCTCCCGCTTCCCATAACCCCACCCTCTTCTCCCGCTTTCGATCACCCCGCCACATTCTCCCGCTTTCTATCACCCCGCCCCATTCTCCCTCCTTCCATCACCCCGCCCCATCCTCCCGCTTTCCATCACCCCGCCCCATTCTACCGCTTTCCATCATCCCGCCCCATTCTCCCTCCTTCCATCACCCCTCCCCATTCTCCCGCTTTCCATCACTCCGCCCCATTCTCCCTCCTTCCATCACCCCGCCCCATTCTCCCTCCTTCCATCACCCCGCCCCATTCTCCCGCTTTCCATCACCCCGCCCCATTCTCCCGCTTCCCATAACCCCACCCTATTCTCCCGCTTTCCATCACCCCGCCACATTCTCCCACTTTCCATCACCCCGCCCCCTTCTCTCTCCCTCCATCACCCCGCCCCATTCTCCCTCCTTCCATCACCCCGCCCCATTCTCTCGCTTTCCATCAGCCCGCCCCATTCTCCCGCTTTCCATCACCCCTCCCCTTTCTCGCACTTTCCATCTCCCCGCCCCATTCTCCCGCTTTCCATCACCCCGCCCCATTCTCCCGCTTTCCATCACCCCGCCCCATTCTTCCGCTTCCCATCATCCCGCCCCATTCCCCCGCTTTCCATCACCCCTCCCCATTCTCCCTCCTTCCATCACCCTGCCCCATTCTCTCGCTTTCCATCACCCCGCCCCATTCTCCCGCTTTCCATCACCCCGCCCCATTCTCCCGCTTTCCATCAACCCAGCCCATTCTTCCTCCTTCCATCACCCCGCCCCATTCTCCCGCTTTCCATCACCCCGCCCTATTCTCCCGCTTTCCATCACCCCGCCCCATTCTCCCTCATTCCATCACCCCGCCCCATTCTCCCGCTTTCCATCACCCCGCCCCATTCTCCCTCATTCCATCACCCCGCCCCATTCTCCCGCTTTCCATCATCCCGCCCCATTCTCCCTCCTTCCATCACCCCGCCCCATTCTCCCGCTTTCCATCACTCCGCCCCATTCTCCCTCCTTCCATCACCCCGCCCCATTCTCCCTCCTTCCATCACCCCGCCCCATTCTCCCGCTTTCCATCAGCCCGCCCCATTCTCCCACTTCCCATAACCCCACCCCCTTCTCCCGCTTTCCATCACCCCGCCACATTCTCCAGCTTTCTATCACCCCGCCTAATTCTCCCTCCTTCCATCACCCCGCCCCATTCTCCCGCTTTCCATCACCCCGCCCCATTCTACCGCTTTCCATCATCCCGCCCCATTCTCCCGCTTTCCATCACCCCGCCCCATTCTCCCGCTTCCCATAACCCCACCCCATTCTCCCGCTTTCCATCACCCCGCCACATTCTCCCACTTTCCATCACTCCGCCCCCTTCTCTCTCCTTCCATCACCCCGCCCCATTCTCCCTCCTTCCATCACCCCGCCCCATTCTCCCGCTTTCCATCAGCCCGCCCCATTCTCCCGCTTTCCATCACCCCTCCCCTTTCTCCCGCTTTCAATCTCCCCGCCCCATTCTCCCGCTTTCCATCACCCCGCCCCATTCTCCCGCTTTCCATCACCCCGCCCCATTCTTCCGCTTCCCATCATCCCGCCCCATTCCCCCGCTTTCCATCACCCCTCCCCTTTCTTCCTCCTTCCATCACCCCGCCCCATTCACTCGCTTTCCATCACCCCGCCCCATTCTCCCGCTTTCCATCACCCCGCCCCATTCTCCCGCTTTCCACACCCCGCCCCATTCTTCCTCCTTCCATCACCCCGCCCCATTCTCCCGCTTTCCATCACCCCGCCCCATTCTCCCTCCTTCCATCACCCCGCCCCATTCTCCCTCATTCCATCACCCCGCTCCATTCTCCCGCTTTCCATCACCCCGCCCTATTCTCCCGCTTCCCATAACCCCACCACATTCTCCCGCTTTCCATCACCCCGCCACATTTTCCCACTTTCCATGACCCCGCCCCCCTTCTTTCTCCTTCCATCACCCCGCCCCATTCTCCCTCCTTCCATCACCCGCCCCATTCTCCCGCTTTCCATCAGCCCGCCCCATTCTCCCGCTGTCCATCACCCCGCCCCTTTCTCCCGCTTTCCATCACCCCGCCCCATTCTCCCGCTTTCCATCACCCCGCCCCATTCTCCCGCTTTCCATCACCCCGCCCCATTCTCCCGCTTTCCATCACCCCGCCCCATTCTCCCGCTTTCCATCACCCCGACCCATTTCTCCCATTTTCCATCACCCCGCCCCTTTCTCCCTTCTTCCATCACCCCGCCTCATTCTCCCTCCTTCCATCACCCCGCCCCATTCTCCCGCTTTCCATCACCCCGCCCCATTTTCCCGCTTTCCATCACTTAGCCCCATTCTCCCGCTTTCCATAACCCCGCCCCATTTTTCCTCTTTCCATCACCCCGCCCCATTCTCCCGCTTTCCATCACCCTGCCCCAATCTCCCGCTTTCCATCACCCCGCCCCATTCTCCCTCCTTCCATCACCCCGCCCCATTCTCCCGCTTTCCATCACCCCGCCCCATTCTCCCGCTTTCCATCACCCAGCCCCATTCTCTCGCTTTCCATCACCCCGCCCCATTCTCCCGCTTTCCATCACCCCGCCCCATTCTCCCGCTTTCCATCACCCCGTCCCATTCTCCCTCCTTCCATCACCCCGCCCCATTCTCCCGCTTTCCATCACCCCGCCCCACTCTCCCGCTTCCCATAACCCCACCCCATTCTCCTGCTTTCCATCACCCCACCACATTTTCCCGTTTTCTATCACCCCGCCCCATTCTCCCTCCTTCCATCACCCCGCCCCATTCTCCCGCTTTCCATCACCCCGCCCCATTCTCCCGATTTCCGTCACCCCGCCCCATTCTCCCGCTTTCCATCACCCCGCCCCATTCTCCCGCTTTCCATCACCCCGCCCCATTCTCCCGCATTCCATCATCCCGCCCCATTCTCCCTCCTTCCATCACCCCGCCCCATTCTCCCGCTTTCCATCACTCCGCCCCATTCTCCCTCCTTCCATCACCCCGCCCCATTCTCCCTCCTTCCATCACCCCGCCCCATTCTCCCGCTTTCCATCACCCCGCCCCATTCTCCCGCTTTCCATCACTCCGCCCCATTCTCCCTCCTTCCATCACCCCGCCCCATTCTCCCTCCTTCCATCACCCCGCCCCATTCTCCCGCTTTCCATCACCCCGCCCCATTCTCCCTCTTTCCATCACCCCGCCCCATTCTCCCGCTTTCCATCACCCCGCCACATTCTCCCACTTTCCACCACCCCGCCCCCTTCTCTCTCCTTCCATCACCCCGCCCCATTCTCACTCCTTCCATCACCCCGCCCCATTCTCCCGCTTTTCATCAGCCCGCCCCATTCTCCCGCTCTCCATCACCCCTCCCCTTTCTCCCCCTTTCCATCTCCCCGCCCCATTCTCCCGCTCTCCATCACCCCGCCCCATTCTCCCGCTTTCCATCACCCCGCCCCATTCTTACGCTTCCCATCATCCCGCCCCATTCCCCCGCTTTCCATCACACCTCCCCATTCTCCCTCCTTCCATCACCCCGCCCCATTCTCTCGCTTTCCATCACCCCGCCCCCGTTATCCCGCTTTCCATCAGCCCGCCCCATTCTCCCGCTTTCCATCACCCCGCCCCATTCTCCCTCCTTCCATCACCCCGCCCCATTCTCCCGCTTTCTATCACCCAGCCTTATTCTCCCTCCTTCCATCACCCTGCCCCATTCTCCCTCATTCCATCACCCCGCTCCATTCTCCCGCTTTCCATCACCCCGCCCCATTCTCCCGCTTCCCATAACCCCACCCCATTCCCCCGCTTTCCATCACCCCGCCACATTTTCCCACTTTCCATCATCCCGCCCCCTTCTCTCTCCTTCCATCACCCTGCCCTATTCTCCCTCCTTCCATCACCCCGCCCCATTCTTCCGCTTTCCATCACCCGCCCCATTCTCCCGCTTTCCATCACCTCGCCCCATTCTCCCGCTTTCCATCACCCCGCCCCATTCTTTTGCTTTCCATCACCCCGCCCCATTCTCCCGCTTTCCATCACCCTGCCCCATTCACCAGCTTTCCATCACCCGCCCAATTCTCCCGCTTTCCATCACCCCGCCCCATTCTCCCGCTTTCCATCACCCCGCTCCATTCTCCCGCTTTCCATCACCCCGCCCCATTCTCCCGCTTTCCATCACCCCGCCCCATTCACCCGCTTTCCATCACTCCGCCCCATTCTCCCGCTTTCCATCACCCCGACCCATTCTCCCACTTTCCATCACCCCGCCCCATCCTCCCTCCTTCCATCACCCTGCCTCATTCTCCCTCCTTCCATCACCCCGCCCCATTCTCCCGCTTTCCATCACCCCGCCCCATTCTCCCGCTTTCCATCACCCAGCCCCATTCTCCCGCTTTCCATCACCCCGCCCCATTCTCCCGCTTTCCATCACCCTGCCCCAATCTCCCGCTTTCCATCACCGCGCCCCATTCTCCCTCCTTCCATCACCCCGCCCCATTCTCCCGCTTTCCATCACCCCGCCCCATTCTCCCGCTTCCCATAACCCCACCCCATTCTCCCGCTTTCCATCACCCCGCCACATTCTCCCACTTTCCACCACCCCGCCCCCTTCTCTCTCCTTCCATCACCCCGCCCCATTCTCACTCCTTCCATCACCCCGCCCCATTCTCCCGCTTTTCATCAGCCCGCCCCATTCTCCCGCTCTCCATCACCCCTCCCCTTTCTCCCCCTTTCCATCTCCCCGCCCCATTCTCCCGCTCTCCATCACCCCGCCCCATTCTCCCGCTTTCCATCACCCCGCCCCATTCTTCCGCTTCCCATCATCCCGCCCCATTCCCCCGCTTTCCATCACACCTCCCCATTCTCCCTCCTTCCATCACCCCGCCCCATTCTCTCGCTTTCCATCACCCCGCCCCGTTATCCCGCTTTCCATCAGCCCGCCCCATTCTCCCGCTTTCCATCACCCCGCCCCATTCTCCCTCCTTCCATCACCCCGCCCCATTCTCCCGCTTTCTATCACCCAGCCCCATTCTCCCTCCTTCCATCACCCTGCCCCATTCTCCCTCATTCCATCACCCCGCCCCATTCTCCCGCTTTCCATCACCCCGCCCCATTCTCCCGCTTCCCATAAACCCACCCCATTCTCCCGCTTTCCATCACCCCGCCACATTTTCCCACTTTCCATCATCCCGCCCCCTTCTCTCTCCTTCCATCACCCTGCCCCATTCTCCCTCCTTCCATCACCCCCGCCCCATTCTTCCGCTTTCCATCACCCGCCCCATTCTCCCGCTTTCCATCACCTCGCCCCATTCTCCCGCTTTCCATCACCCCGCCCCATTCTTTTGCTTTCCATCACCCCGCCCCATTCTCCCGCTTTCCATCACCCTGCCCCATTCACCAGCTTTTCATCACCCGCCCAATTCTCCCGCTTTCCATCACCCCGCCGCATTCTCCCGCTTTCCATCACCCCGCTCCATTCTCCCGCTTTCCATCACCCCGCCCCATTCTCCCGCTTTCCATCACCCCGCCCCATTCACCCGCTTTCCATCACTCCGCCCCATTCTCCCGCTTTCCATCACCCCGACCCATTCTCCCACTTTCCATCACCCCGCCCCATTCTCCCTCCTTCCATCACCCTGCCTCATTCTCCCTCCTTCCATCACCCCGCCCCATTCTCCCGCTTTCCATCACCCCGCCCCATTCTCCTGCTTTCCATCACCCAGCCCCATTCTCCCGCTTTCCATCACCCCGCCCCATTCTCCCGCTTTCCATCACCCTGCCCCAATCTCCCGCTTTCCATCACCGCGCCCCATTCTCCCTCCTTCCATCACCCCGCCCCATTCTCCCGCTTTCCATCTGTTGGTGCAACCCTATGGTTTGCACTCGGCTTGTTGTCCGTGTGCGTGCATGTGTGTGTGTGTATGGAATGGTATGAAGGCATGGGATAATATATATTTCATGCTTATAATTGTGTGTGAATGTTGAGTCATGATGTCGAGTGTATGTGTCGAGTCAATAGCGAGTTATCGCTAGACGCGTGTTACGCGGTCGTTTGTGTCTCGCGCGCGGTTTCTATTTTGTCGTGCGCGGTTTCTCTTTTGTCCTGTGTCGAACGTTCGGTGTGTCGCAGGTGTGTGCAGCAGACCCATCAAGAACTCAAGGATGAGTTTGTGATGAAGAGCCGAGCCTTGGTGTCAATCCTCAAGTGATTTCAAAGCTCGCGAAAAAGGGTACACCTTAAGATATTGAAGATAGTTACATTACTTTGTGTAGTGTAACATTTCACTTGGTGTAGGCCCTAGTGAAGGGTAGTTTCGAGACCCTTCGTGGTTGGGGACAGTGTGGCACTGTTCCACATCACTGTACCTCGGCTCTTGGGGTTTGTAGGAGCTGGGAGTCATTCCCAACTCGTAACTCTTCCTAACTCTTCCTATCTTGTGTTCTAAGACCATAGTGGCTGCCATAGTGCCGTTCGTTCAAACCAACCCTGTGTCGTCAATACTTGGTCAAATCGTGCGATCTAAATTGCCTATTGTAGGCGACAATAAGGCGCTCCAGATCCAAGTTGAATCAAGTCATTTAAAGCTGTGACCAAAACGCTATGAACGTTTGAAGCCGCTGTGCAGAAATCCGACTGTGCACTCTATCTTTCGTTTTAGGCACATTGGAGCCTACTGTGACTATAACAAGTGGTATCAGAGCTACTTGGAGCAGTTTCGACAATGGCTGGACCTGAGGAAAGGGGTGGCAGAGGTGCTGGTGGCAGAGGAGAAGCCCAAGCTCAAGGCCAACCCTGTGACTCAGCCATGGCGCCCGTGCAAGCAAGTGTTGGCCCATCTAGGGATGAGCCTAGAGTGTTTGGCCTTGACAAGTTCAATGGTGACAACTTTGCTGAGTGGTCCTTCAGAATGGAGAACATATTTGACCACTATGACCTGCTGGAGGTGATGGAAGGAACGGAGAAGCGTCCCGAGAACGACCCGGAGAAGAGCCCGTGGGTGCGGAAGAGCGCACAAGGCTACCTCCTACTTGGGCAAGCGTTGGGGAGCAGCCAAATCCGTCACATCAAGCCTTTCCAGCGTGAACCAGAGAAGGGACCAAAAGCATGGGCTGCTCTCAAGGGTGTACACGCTCCTGCAACAGCGGCGGTAGCTGTGGTGTTGGAACGGCAAATGGCGACGTTACGAATTGAAGAGGATGAAGCGGTTGAAGAAGGGGTGCAGAAATTCTTCGACTTGTTGACGCGGCTTGAGGGAGCTGATTTGAACTATAGTGAGCTCCAAAAGAAGACCAAGTTGCTGGCCCTACTCCCGGAGTCATGGTCCTCGCTCATCATCAACCTTAATCGTGACTTGCCCCGCCTCTAGCTTGAAGACGTGAAGCGAGCTATCCTTCAAGAGGATTTCCGCCGCCGTGAATTGGCGAGTGCGGATGGCGCTAGGGCAGCGAGCATCGGCCGTGGATATGGTCGAGGAAGAGGCAGAGGACGAGGGGGAGGAAGGTTTGGTGGCAGCAACTTCGGCGGAGGCCGTGGGAGTGGCGGTTACGGCAGCAACGACAAGAGCTACGGACGCGGTCACGGCCGATTCGACGGCGAGTGTCATTATTGCCACAAGAGCGGACACATGTGGCGCGACTGCTACAAACTCCCTGATGGTTGGACCCCTGCTCAAGGCCAAGAGGATAGAGGAGCAGGAGGAGGGAGAGGACGAGGCCGTGGAGGCCGTGGCGGTCGCGGTGGCGGAGCTGCAAACATGAAGAGCGGAGACAACGACAAGGACCCGAGCGACGATCGATACCCGGGTCTATTCTACTTCGTGTCGACGCAAGTACCGGCTGGTCCAGAGAAGGATGAAGGCTTTGAGGAGCCAGCAGCTGTGGGGAAGGTGACCCTACACCCCCTGGACTATTGGGTGATTGATAGTGGCGCTACCTATAGCATGACACCTCGCCCGGACTTGCTCACCGAACTCGAGCCGTCACCGGTGAAGCATGTCACATCGGCTTTGGGGCAGCGAGCAGAGGTGAAAGGCATGGGGAAGGCCATGTTCAAGGGTGCTGATGGGAAGATGGTGGGCCTCAAGAACGTGCTTTGGGTGCCCAGCCTTGCTGCAAACCTGATTTCCGTGCGGCGGTTGGTAAAGGCCGGCATGGACACTAACTCGAAGGGAGCCAAGACCTACACCGCAAGGCTTGGCGATCGGATTCTTTGGGACCTTCATGAGGATAGAGATGTCTACAACGAGATGTGGCAGATCCCTGTGGTCCCAATGCCTAAGGAGAGGCAAGTGGCAGCAAGCGTCAGCACTAAAGGTGGAGCGGTTGGTAGCGGCGATTGCGCGGACGGTCGCGCTAAGGAGAAGGAGTCCAAGAAGTGCAATCTTGGAGGGACCAGCAAGTTCAGTGAACCTAAGGAGAGTGGTGCAGCAACCAAGGAGCAGCAAAAGGGTGAGGAGAACCCCGAGGCAACAGCGGAGGAGGACTACGGAGAGAGTATGTGGGGCGCTATTGCGAGCGCGGCATTCTCCAATCCAACTTCGGCTACGGGGGAGTGTGATTGGCTCACCTTGCATCGGCGCATGGGGCATGTGGCCCTGCCCATCTTGCAGCAGCTAGTGAAGAATGAGATGGTTGCTGGCATACGTGTGAAGGGGGAGCCCGATGAGGTACTTGGCTGCCCGACGTGCATGCAAGCCAAGTTCACCCGTTTCCCATTCTCTAGTTCGGAGGCAACGGCTAAGGCACCACTTGATGAGGTGGTGATGGACGTGGTGGGCCCCCTGAAGCTTGGAGCTGCTGGAGCTGAGTACTTCCTCACTATTGTGGACGTCTACACCCGTATGACTTGGGGTGTACGTGCTGGCCAAGAAGAGCGACGTGGCTGAAACGTTGAAGGCGGATTGGTTCCCGATGGTGGAGCGGCAACAAGACCGTCTAGTCAAGTCAGTCCGCACCGATCGAGGGGGAGAGTTCCTGAGCAAGGAGTTTGGGTTGTGGCTGAAGAAGAATGGTATTCGACACTCCCTCACCATGCCATGCTCCCCTGCAATGAATGGCATCGCTGAGCGAGCGAACCGCACAATCACGGAGGCGGCACGCGGGTTGCTCATTGAAGCCGGGCTACCCGACTATTTCTGGCCTGATGCGGTGCGGAGCGCATGTGTGGCCAAGAACAGAGCCTTGACTCATGTGGGAGCAGACAAATGGGTGCCCTATGTGGAGTGGCTAGGAAGGAAGCCAAAGGTGGATATGCTTCGGGTGTTCGGGTGCATGTGCATGGCGCTTGTGCCTAAGCATCTTCGGCACAACAAGCTTGGTGCCAAGGCGGTGTGGGCCGTGCACTTGGGCATGGCTCAAAACAGCAAGGGATGGCTTCTTTGGGACCCATTCACCAAGAAGTTCTTGGTGAGCAGGGACTGCAAGTTCATGGAGAACTTCATGTACAAGGATTGGAAGGCGGAGAATGAGGCGAAGATAGGCGTGCGGTTTGGGGAGGTGAAGAGTTCCGGTTTGGAGCATGTGGAGCTGCCTTTGGAGCTGAGC